GAGCCACCCCCAGTTTGCTGACAACGCCGGCGACGCTGAGCCCAGTTTGGTGGGGATGCTGGGGGTGTTGGCGGGTGATGCTGGCGATGCTGCTTGGGGAAGGGGGTGGCTCATTTAGCATGTGGGGCTGTTCCACTTGCAAGCTAAATGAGCCACCCCAAGTTTGCTGACAACGCCGGCGACGCTGAGCCCAGTTTGGTGGGGATGCTGGGGGTGTTGGCGGGTGATGCTGGCGATGCTGCTTGGGGAAGGGGGGGCTCATTTAGCATGTGGGGCGGTTCCACTTGCAAGCTAAATGAGCCCCCCCAAGTTTGCTGATAATGCTGGCGACGTTTGGTGGGGATGCTGGGGGCACCAATTATTTAATTTAATTTTATGGGTCTCTGGAATATTGAAAAATGGGTTGTGTTTTTGAGAAACCACCAATTTGGCATGGGAACCTGAAAGGATCAATCATGTATGTGCATGTGGGTATGATGGGTGTCCTTGCTGGCCCCACGCTTTCCTCGAGGCTTTGGTTTCTCTTCATTGGGTTTCTCTGGCTTAGGCTCTTCCAGAGGCCTGTCACCTTTTTCTGCTTCACATTCACTGCCCTGCTGCTCCGGCTTGTTGTCAGCTGTGTTTTTTGCGGACTTTTTTGGCGCTGCGCGGCCACGGCCACGTCCTCCTCGCCCAGGCCCTCCTCGCCCACGACCCTTTCCTTTGGTGGCTTTCTGGGTTTGCAGGTTTTCCTCATCTTCTTTCTCTCTCTCTCGCTTCAGGATCTGGTCCTCGTTGTCCAAGGCTGCTTCCATAGACAGCTCCTCATCAGCCTCGTTCTCAGCCTCCTTTGAAGCTTTTTTGGCAGCCTTGGCAGCCCTTGCATCTGCCTTCTTCTTCTTATTCTCTCTGTTTTCTGCTTCCTCATTTGCTTTCTTCTTTCGCAGATCTTGTCGCAGCAAGCGCTGCCCCTGACAGTCCGAAGGTGTGAAACACTCTTTGCATTTTCAAACATGGATACCACGGACTCACCCTATTCAACAACGTACCGTCCTGTACTACACCGCCTGACCCCCCATTTCCCAAATTGAGCTCACCAGGCCTCAAGCAGCTGGCGGATCTCCTCATCCTTGTGTTCAATGACCTCCGGCACAGACAGGAGGCCAGGCACTTCTGGGACCAGGGGCTTGGTGTCCTGGAAAGTGCCCTTTGTCAACGCAGTGCGCTGACAGTTCTCGTCTCCGCTTTGTGCATCAAATTCGTCCGGGGGGGCTTCGTCTGGCTGCTTGGCGCTCGCTTCCTCCTCTTTGGCTGCTGCAATCCTTCTCTCCTCATCTGTCTTGGCTGCTGCAATCCTTCTCTCCTCTTCGTGCTTCAGCTCCTCGATCTTTCTGCCTGCCTCCTCCTTGGCTGCTGCAATCCTTCTCTCCTCATCTGTCTTGGCTGCTGCAATCCTTCTCTCCTCTTCGTTCTTCAGCTCCTCGGTCTTTCTGGCTTCCTCCTGTTTCTTGGCTGCTGCAATCCTTCTCTCCTCCTTTGTCTTGGCTGTTGCAATCCTTTTCTTCTCTTCGTTCTTCAGCTCCTCGGACTTTCTGGCTTCCTCCTCTTTCTTGGCTGCTGCAATCCTTCTCGCCTCCTCTTCTTTCTTGACTGCTGCAATCCTTCTCTCCACTTCGTTCGTCAGCTCCTCAGTCTTTCTGGCTTCCTCCTCCTCGGCTGCTGCTGCTGCAATCCTTTTCTCCTCTTCACGCTTCAGCTCCTCGGTCTTTCTGGCTTCCTCCTCCTTGGCTCCTGCAATCCTTTTCTCCTCTTCGTGTTTCAGCTCCTCGGTCTTTCTGGCTTCCTCCTCCTTGGCTGCTGCAATCCTTTTCTCCTCTTCGTGTTTCAGCTCCTCGGTCTTTCTGGCTTCCTCCTCTTTCTTGGCTGCTGCCATTCTTTTCTCCTCTTCGTGTTTCAGCTCCTCTGTCTTTCTGGCTTCCGCCTCCTGTTGCCCTGCTGCAATCATTCTTCGCTCCTCTGCTTCTCTGTGCGCTGCCATCCTCCTTACTTCCTCTTGAACTTGTTTTTTAGTTTCTTCCATTTTTCTGTGCTCCTCTAGCTTAAATTGTTCGAGCCGCCTATATTCCTCTTTTATGCTTGCCCTTGCTTCTGCAATCTTTCTATTCTCCTCTTCTCTCAGCTCTTCGATCTTCCAGGCTTCCGCTTTTATAAGCTCCTTTGCTTCTGCAATGCTCCTGTCTTTGCTTTTCTTCTCCTCAAGCTGCTTCGTATCCGCTGCGCTCCCCTCGTCGACCTTCTGAGCTTCTTCCTGCTTTTCTTCGCCACCGGTTTGCGCGTTGTTCTTCAACTCCTCCTGCAAATGCTCATCTTCTATCTCCTCATCTTCTGTGGCTGCCTCCTCCTCTTCTTCCTCCTCAATCAGAATTTCCTCAATCTCTTCTGCAATTGCTTCCTGTGCTTTTTTGTCTGTTTCCTTTAGTGTGCTTTCTGGAGCCTGATGCGAGGGATCGTAATTCTCTTGGGTGTCGGCTTAAAACCAAGTTTGTTTTTTCAAAGGCAGCTGGATCGCGCCTTGAGCTTGGGCTTTCGTATGGACTTGGTGCGCTTCTCTACCCCAGAATCCTCAAGGGCACCAGCTGCAGAACTGACCGATCGTTTGGTGATGCGCTACCCGGTCCTCATAGATCAAGCTCACGAGTTTCTTCAGCTTCGCCATGTTGGAGTCCTTTTTCCTGGCCAGGTAGGGTGGATCGACTTAGTTTTTTCAATATGACTGGAAGCCGCGCCTTGCGCTTTTGGATCGGCCATGACTTGTCAGAATCTTGCTGATTAAGCACCGGTGCAAATTGCCTTCCGTCGTTGCCCACTCCTAGAGCAAGGTTGTGCCAATAGTATATACGTGTATGTTATTTTGATCGAGCAGTGCTGAGTTCACATGTCGTGTTGCAAAGCTCTCCTCAACCTCCCACTGTGCCAAGCTCGGATCTATCAGCTTCTCACCCCGGCCAATGCAGTACAGCGCTTCCTCGCGGGGACTGAAAAAACAATGAACCCATCCTAAGCCCACACTTGCCTTGCACTCCCTCTCCGTGGGAGGATCCAGTGCAAATATCGGCAGCCAGGCCATTGCGAAGCGGGTGTTCTTGTCGGATGACATCTGGCCAGGCGGGGCGGCCGGAGGCCTGGTATGTGTTTTTTCTTTGGTGATCAAAAAATTGGAATTACTTCTTTCCCAGTGGCATCAACATTTCGACACATTGATACTTGCAAGATTCGTGCTTTCAACCAGTGTGAATATGATGTGCTTTAATGGAGTGTGAACATCTCCTCATATGAAGGGGGAATGGGTGCTAGACATCAAATACACGCGCGTAAACACAATTTGTGGCTTTGCTTTATTCGAATCCCAAAAAAAGGATACCATCAAAGAAAGCCGAGGAACTTTGAGGGGTGACCGCACACCATCTAACACCCACGCAAAAGCAGGCCAAGTGGGCCACGTCTTCGTTCAGCCCTTTTACCAGGTGCACGTCCAAAAAGCTGAACTTCACAGGAGCCTGCCAGGTTGCAAGCTCACACATGCGCGGCAGGCCTCATAAGATTGACCACTTGCGCAAACATGCAAAAGGCACCTTTCCGTCTGCAAGTGCGCGGTTGGCCTTCTGTTTTGGGATTCCATGTTGGTGGGCCAGGTCAAGGAATTGCTCCTGACGGAAATCATCTGTGCGCAGGTAGTCACAGTAGAAATCCTGGCCGAAGTGGTGCCAGCAAGCTCAATCAATGCAACGTGCTCTGCCTTCAGCATTCTGATCCTGACCATGTCAGGCTTTGCAGTGGGCATGGCGGGTTGCTGCCAGCGAGCTGAGAACACGATTGCAAGTCTTGAAAAAGCCCGTGCTGCTAGCTGTCACATTGCCAGTTGCCCGGTCTGGAATTTGAGCCACACGGGTCCAAAGTGCGCAAAATCATGGATCATGGACATTTGAATTGATTGGAATAGGGGTCGATGCACAATCCATGATTCATCGATGGGTTACCCTCATCTCGTCCAGTGAAGGAAACCGAATGGCAGGGCAGTCGCTGAGGGGGAACGCACCTTCTTGATCTTCATGATCTGCCACAAGATCTGGATTGAGTTCAAGCTTCCCTCAGAGATGATTCATCAATTCTCTGACTTGTGCGTGCACGCACATAAAGAATAGACACAACCCCGCACGTGTTGGAGTATGGGTGGAGCCCTACAACACAAAAGAAGATAAATCACCGAGCAGGGTTTTGTCCAGTCACAGCATCATGGACTCCATTGGGGCTCTGACTTTTTTTGACGGCTTTCTTCATGCAGATCGCGGAGAGCTCGAGGTTTCATTGCCTTCCAAACGGACAAATCCGTATGCTCTTGATGCCCCGAAAGCTACATGGCGCCGCATCAAAATGACACTACAAACATGCGTGCCTTTGACTTCCAGCAAGTGAGCATGAGTGCGTGGTTTCAATCCAAGAGCAGCCGGTCAATATCACCTGGGGCTCTGGCTCCTTTCGACCGCGTTCTCCATCACATCCAAATCGATCCATCAGTGCAGCAGTGCTTTGAAGCTGTTATGAACTCGTGACAAACATTTCTCACTTCAGAAGAAGCTGATGTGACGGCTTGCCACATGCAAACATGGTATCAAGCTGATATGCATTACTGGCATGCCGGAGTTTGATGTACAGTGTTCACAGCTGGCGTGCAAACGTACAAGATGTCGAGGCGAACTCTGAATTGACATGGCCAAATATGCAACGGCCTCATGCTGGTACTGCTTCAAGGTAAACACCGAAGTTGTGAGTAAAACATCTACTTTTCGGAGGTCAAAGTTAAACTTCAACATGGAAGGTCAGGGTTTTGGTTTCCCTAAAGCCCACCCCAAAATAAGGGTTGTCCTTTTGGCTTCCTGCAAAACCGACAAAAACTGCTCCCCCCCCCAAAAAAAAATGGACGAGCCACCCATCCCCGAAAGGTCCGACATTTTTTCCGCCAGGTGGACACAGCCCCCGATTCGCAAGCGAGCCGCTGCTTCTGGGTATTGCGCAGCGATGGCTCGCAGGAGCGGGGAGGAACGCGCGCGGCTGTCCGGTTGCAGAGTCCTTGAGCCAAGTGCTCAAAACCCGGCTAGATAAAGGTTAGCAAGGGATGTTCTGGGGAGACCATTTTAGTACGAGGTTTTGATTGTGGCTCCTGACTGGGTGTGCTCAGATCACGTCAGGAAGACTTCTCTGCCAGAAAGTGCTGCCAAAGCATTCGACCTTACCTCAGCTCGCTCAAACAACGAAGAACAACACATGGTCACCAGCTGTGAGTCTTGCCTGCTTTCAACGCAGAACTCAGCGGTGGAACATGGGTGGCTTCTTGTTTTGAGGGTACCCCTTGGATGTAAGTGATTGTAAGCGGTTTCAAAGGGAAGCCAAAAGGAAAGCCACCTATTCGTCTTTCTTTTCTGTTTTCTTTGGGGGGGTCCCCTACCAAAGACACGCCCACATGTACCTTTTTACATCCTGTTAAGGTGGCTAAGTTGGATGAGCTGAGGTGCATCCCTGCGATGATTGCGTGACATATTCGCTTCGAGGAAAACTCGCAGACGATTGTCATTTGGTGCATTGCGCAAAATCAGCTTGCGATTTAAGACTGCGATGTGCGTGTTCGAGCGACATGTGTGCTGTGTACAACATTCATGCAGTGGCGGTTGCTGCGGTGTTCACTGACGCCCGGAGCTCCCATCAGGTCAAGCCAAAGTGGCGGTTCATTTCTCGGGCTTGCAAGCAAGCAACGGCTGGTCAAAACGGGAATGCGCTTTGCAACCCTTTGTGGACTTTGTGCATCACGCAGCTTGCGCACGCACAGCCCCACACCCGGGGCATACTCGCCATGCACGGGTACGCATGTATGAGCATTGCAGTTTGCATTGTGCCTCACCATCATGGCTACTTCCCCAACACTCCCAACACTTCTTGGCTGCACGACGTTTGCCGGACCCATGCAAGATGGCAGCTGGGTGGGAAGGCTGCATCAAGGGCATGTGTTTTTGGGGCTCAGCAGCAGTGAGTGGGCTCGGTTTCCTGTTGGCATTTGTGCCTGGCAGGATGGACTTCCAAGGATGGACAGGAGGCTGGCTGGCAGGCGAAGTGGCAAGGCTGGGGCTTTTGGGCCAAGTGGGCCTTCGGATTCATATCGCCTGAAACTCTTGAGGCGATTGGAGAGAGGAGAAAGTGGCATGGGAAAGACCACCAGAGGAAGACATTCCCACGGTGCCCGATTCACCTGAAGAGGGGGCAGCTGGTCCTTCTGGCTGGGGTGGATGGGACGGCCAGAAGTCTTGGGGCGATTGGGGAGGTGGCTGGGGTGGTTCTGGCTGGAGCGGTGATTGGGGAGGTGGGGGTGGTTCTGGCTGGAGCGGTGCTGATTGGAGAGGCTCTGATTGGGGTTGGGGCGGAAAAGGCGGCGGGAGCGGGTGGGCTGGTGGATGGGGCGGCGGGAGTTGGGGGAACGGATGGGGTGGGAACGCTTGGGGCGCATCTGGCGGCTGGGGAGGCCATGGCTGGAGGGGCTGGAGCTGCCCTGGCTGCGGTTGGAGTGGCTCCGGCTGGTCCACTTGGAGCTCTTCGGAGCCCTGGGATGGTTCTGGCTGGGGCAAGTCTGGCTGGGACGATTCTGGCTGGGAGCGCGGCTGGCGGCCTGACGAACCGGCGGAATGGTCACAGCCAAAGTGGGAGACCGAGCCAGCAGAGCCAATGGAGACCAGCGAGCTTGCAGAGCCCACTCCGGAAGACAGCCAAAGTTTGCAAGAGAGATGGGGCCAAGCATTTGCCCAGAGGGACGTGGAGCCAGAAGATTGGTGGAAACCCACCAAAGATGCCAAGGATGCCAAGAAAGAACCGCAGATTCTGAGTGGCGAGAATACCGTACAGTCCGAGCCGCTTGACCTGGATGTTGACTAAATTGCTATGGGCTGTGCTGAGCCCGACTTGTTGGGCTCGGCATTGACCCGAGGCCTCGAGCAGAAGATGCAGCCAGCCCAGAACCGGACAGGACAGGCATGATGCACAAGCTATAGGGACAGGACTTCCCAAAGGCTTGCTTCTGGGACCTTACTCAAGACCCAAGACCCTCCGCTCATATGAGTCACAATCAAAACCGATTCGGGTAGATGAAGGTTAGGGACGATCTTTTTGCCATAAATAGCTGCGGATATCCGCCTTGTTAATTCCTTATATGGTTCTGGGTAGATCGTTTTAATACCGGGGTTTGATTATATGACTCAATTGGTTTGGCTTGGTGGGATTTGAACCCCTGGTTCTCGAGGAATGGGAACCCTCCACATCTCCAAACCGTCCCAAACCACCCAGCAATTAGAGGGTAGACGATTTCTTACACCGGGTTTTGACGGAACCCACACAAATCATCCAGGAAGGTGCCTCCAAGCCCTGGAGCGGAGGCCAGGGATTGGAGCCGAGGTTCATCTACGGCGCTTGCCATCTTTTAAATCCCAGCACTTTTGGGGGGTAAAAAGGGGTTAGAGAGTCTTTGGATTTTCTGCGAGTAAAATAAACATACAAGTGCGTCACGCTGGAGTTTATGCAGGCAACCTGCCTGGCAAATTCGGGCACGTGATGCTCCCTATGTCCATGATCGCATCAGAAGCTTCACTCGATAGTCTGCCATTCTCAACAGTTTTGGTCAGTTCATAAGCCCTCCGCGTCAGCTGCAGCAAAGTTACAGCCATACCAACAGGTTGTTGAAGACTTGTGTCAAGGATGCGTAGTTTAGAACATTGCTGAGCTGCTTCTTCGTTCTAGCCGTGGCCCGGTTTGAATCGGGCCAACGCGCACGAAGCTGGGCAATCTGCTCAGAAGTTCCTCCAGGCTCGCGAAAGAGCCCGCCTGACAGGTAACACAAGCCGCTGTCATCGATTCAAAGACCGAAGAGCCAGGCGTGGGGTTGCATTCCAGTACAAGAGTGTGAATGCGGGTTCGGTCAATCAAGGGTGCGGCTTGGAGTGAACGAACCAGTCACCAGGGGGCACAAGACTTGTGAGTTTGCGAGGTTCACGCGTCATGGGACCTGTTCACAGCCCCCACCCCAACAAAATGGGAAAGTTATAAGTGATAAGGTTCAAAGGCTTTGGTGTCCGCCCCATTTTTGCTTGACAAGTTGCACTTTTCTCGCAGGCTCGGACGCGCATCCACGCAGCACTCATGTGCTTCTTTGGGCTTGCCTCAGGTGATGCGGGGCCCTCTCCGGAGAGCACGGCCCACAAGGAGGCATGCGATTGTGAGACCTGCGCCAAAGCAAGCTATTCAAGCAAGAGTGCGTTTGCATTGGCAGCTGCTGCTCGCATGTTTGCGGAAATACGATTTGAGGTCTGTAGCTATTGTGGCGCAAGTGATTGCCACAGACTCCAAACAGATGTCGGGCTTCGGTGAAAGACTGAGTGCGCGACAGAAGGCCTACAAGAAGGGCGTGGATGCAGATGACGCCCGGCGGAAGCGCGAGGATGCCGCCGTGCAGCTGAGGAAGGCTACGAGGGATGAGGCCTTGATGAAGAAGCGCATGGTCAATGATCTTCCTCCCGGCCAAGCGCCGGACATGGGCGCTATGGGCATGGGGATGATGGGCACGGGGATGCCACAGATGATGACTGGGCCGCCCAACATCGCTGCGGAGCAGATTCCGGCATTGAGTCAGGCATTGATGTCGGAAGACCCGCAGGCACAGTTCAACTCCACGCAGCAATTCCGAAAGCTTCTCAGCATTGAGCAGAACCCGCCCATTTCGGAAGTCATCAATGCTGGGGTGGTCCCCAGGTTTGTGCAATTTCTCAAGGAAATCAACCGGCCAGACTTGCAGTTCGAGGCTGCTTGGGTGCTGACCAACATCGCCTCGGGCAATGCGGAGCAGACCCGAGTTGTGGTGGAGCATGGGGCCCTGCCAATCTTTGTGCAGCTGCTGCAGTCTCCCAACGATGATGTCCGAGAACAGGCAGTGTGGGCTTTGGGGAACATCGCTGGAGACTCCCCGAACTTCAGGGACCTAGTTCTCCAAAGTGGAGGCCTGCACCCAGTGATGGCGGTCCTCAGGGAATCGGACAAAACCTCGATGATGCGAAACGCCACTTGGACTTTGTCCAATTTGTGCCGTGGCAAGCCTCCCCCTCCCTTTGAGTGGGTGGTCCCAGCCCTTGCCACGCTTTCGCAGCTCATCTTCTCCTCGGACAACGAGGTCTTGACGGACGCCTGCTGGGCACTGTCATACATGTCAGATGGACCCAACGAGCGCATCACTGCGGTGATCCAGGCAGGGGTTTCCCAGCGCCTGGTGGAGCTCTTGGGTCACACCTCGCCGCTGGTGCAGACTCCGGCCCTGCGGGCGGTGGGGAATATCGTCACAGGGGATGACAACCAGACGCAGGAGGGTATGGGTCAAAAGTGAACCTTAGGGGACCGCAGTTTTTAGTCCATGTGTCCATTTGCCAGGGTACCATTTTGGGTACCTATTTTTGACCCACTGCCAGGTGATCTTGCAGAGCGGCGTCTTGCCCTGCCTGCTGAAGCTGTTGTCCCACGCCAAGAAGGCCATCCGAAAGGAAAGCTGCTGGACCATCTCCAACATCACGGCAGGGAGCCGCGAGCAAATCCAGGAGGTGATCAACAACGGCCTGCTGCCTCCGGTGATCCACCTGCTGTCAACCGCAGATTTTGACATCAAGAAGGAGGCGGCCTGGGCCATCAGTAATGCCACCTCCGGGGGCTCGCCCCAGCAAGTGGACTACCTGGTGGAGATTGGCTGCATCAAGCCACTGGTGGATCTGCTGGTCATCACGGATGCCAAGATCATTGGAGTGGCCCTCGAGGCCTTGGATAACATCCTGAAGGTGGGAAAGGATAAGCAGCAAGAGCTGGGCCTTGCTGAGAACCCCTTTGCTGTCAAGGTGGAGACCGCAGATGGGCTGTCAAAAATCGAGGGTCTTCAGGAGGACCCCAATGAAGAAGTGTACCAGAAGGCCCTGAAGATCTTGGAAAAGTACTTTCCTATGGATGACGCGGATTTCGAGGATAGCGCGCCGCAGCTTGGTTTTGGGGCCGCGGTGCCGTCCGGTGGCTTCGTTTTTGGCTGAGCCGTGACAGAAGCTTAATGATCACGGTGCTTGCTTGAGCGTCGAGAAGCCACCTTTTTTCCCACATGGCAATCCGCTAATTCAGCTCAGCTGACAGCAGCTGAACGGCAGTAGGCGCATGTGGCAGAGATTTGCCGCCTTTTGGAGGGACAAGCCATGGGGAGTCCCAATGCGTGCAGCACCTTGGTGCGGCCCTTGGCACGGCTTCGTCGCTCCATTTGGTCAGGACCATGTGTTCCGTTGCCCGGCGAATGAGGCGGTTCATTATGAGCGCATAGCGCCAAGCCCTAGGCTAGCCTTATTGAAGCTTCTTATGGCAAGATCTCATTTGCGGGCCTGTCCCAAAGCATCCCAAGGCGCAGCACAGAAGCCGCCCAAAAGGCAGCTACTTGTAGCAGGAATTACAGTAGTACCAAACAGATGCTTGCACTGCGGTGCACAGAACACTTTGCGAGAAGAAAGGTGTTGCCCTCCGCCTGCTCGGACATTCTGAACGGCTTTGTGCACTGCATGGCAAGTGTTGGTTGTTCTGTGGGTTCCAATGCCTATGCCAGCATTGTATTTGGGATCTGGCAGGCTGATGCTGACCCTGGTCCGGAGGAGCCGCAGTTGGGGCTCGTATCGGCGAGGCCTTGCCCCACTGTGCCGTTTAAACACTCGTGTGATTCAATCCCAAGTTGGATGTTTCCCCCAACAGGTGCAACTTGGGATTGAAACAACACCAACTGGGTGGTGAATCCACCCACTGTGCCTGAGTGGTGCGGATCCACTTTGGATTCCTTGTGGCCAGCATTGCCAAGGGCGAAGCTTTTGCCAATGGCGCCTCCGCGAGGACCAGCACGTCCGGCATCCGCATGAGAATGAAGAATGGTACCAGAAATGGCTGCGGCGGCAAAGGAAGCAGCCAAGCCACGTGGTGGAAATCAGCCGCCTGGCCGAAGTGTGTGGCATGGCATGTGTATACAAAGGCTATGCCAGGCTAGAGTGATCATTCACCCATTTGGGGCTCGCGCGCAGGAGGTTCCTGTACAGATGAGTTTGTTGGGTTCCATGTAAATCTGCGGAGTCAAGGGGTCAAGGTATACCCACAGTAATTGAAGCTGGCGAAAGCCAGATGTTAGCCACCCGATAATCAAGCATAGTCCTGGGAAACAGACGCATGCGTTCGGCCTCAAGCCCCTAGCCAGTCCAGATGAAATTCTAACCAACCGTTGCAGTTTGAAGGGTCTTGCTGGGACATTGCATGTCACACTGTAAGCTCGGAAGAGCTTTGCTAAACAAGCGACTGCGCGTGCTCGAATCTCAGGCGGTACTGCCAAGTTAGGGTTGAGAAGGTCAAGCATGACCCACATGCCTCAGCAAAACGGGGCCTCCGTTGGTTCCGCGGGTGGTGGGTTCCCTCTCCATTTTGAGGCGCAGCACCTCCAGCGGCTGCACAGGCGAGCGCCCCCAGCGAGGCGCCCAAGACGCAGGCGAGAACCGGGCCGGGTGCAGAAGTAAGGCCCTTACGATCCCTTTTTGAAGCTCTTCGCTTTTCGACCCCAAGAGGGTCCCATTTTCTTCAAGTGTAGCCGGCTGGCACTTGTCTCGCGTCATGCCGAAACCATGGTACATCTCAAAGTGCCACAACTGCGCAAGCTACTTGGTTCAGCTTTTTTGCTTTTCACTGCTTCAAGTCGCGGCCTGCGGGGCTCCGTTCTCCTGGTATTGCGACGGGCCAAGTTCAGCCTCCCTTCACGGCAATCAGAAGTCCAACCTCTTGTGGCCAATTCCAAGGCAACTTTTCAACTACATGCACGCTAAACCCTCCACCCCCCCCAAGCCCACCCCACCGACTTTGTTGTTTCACTTGCATTTGTGGTTTTGATTGTTCTCTTAAGTTTGTTTCACTCTTGAAACTGCCAGCCTTGAAACCACTAGGCTAGGATCAGCCGACAGAAGAGGATGTCCCGGCAGGCAGCTGATGCCATCGACCCTGAAGCGCCCCGGCACGCAACACGCCGCACATGTGGTATCATGTGGTCATTGATCACTCGGAATTATCCCTTGAGATGTTGCAGTTCAGTTGCACCTTGTGATGGGAACTGATAGCTCGACAGTTCCTGGTTGAACGATGGACAGTTGGAGCTGGCGGAATGAGATGTCTTGACAGAGCAGCTCGTGCCACTGAGGTCTCAAGATAGCACCTGCAAGTTCCAAGCACGCCACAATTTCCAGAAACATGAGCTCTAAATGGAGGCTGTAAGCAATGGAAGAGAGGTTGTCACAAAGAGCAGCTTCACAACAATTATCTATCCCTCACATGCTCAGTTTCACAACTTGCTCAGTTTCAGCACGTTTGGAGTTGAGCATTTGGGCTGGCCCCTTCCATGCGCAGGAGGTACCAGCAAGGTTTGGCCAAGCCAAACTTATGCCCAGGAAAAGCGAGTTTGCCCAGATGATGGCAAATCCTACACCTTTGCTGAGCTGAAAGAAGCCTACGCAAGCGCTTGGGCAGCAGTTAGCTCACTTTGCTGTTGGGCAACAAGAGCTTATGGTGTGAGAGGTTCGCCCGAATTTGCTTTTCTTCAATTGGCTTCATTTTTTCGGGATTGCTCCAAGGTAGACTTAAACCTATGATTGAGTAGGGCTTTCAGCCTAGCTTCCACGATGGCACCCCGGTTCTGCTTCGTTTGCTCCCGTATTCCCAGGCGAGTATTCCGAGGAGGACTTGCGGGGCTACTGGCGCGATGCCATGGCTGGAAAGAAGGAGGCCAAAGAGGCAGAGGGTCAAAGCTGACTGGTGCGCTTTCTCGGGGATTCACTGCCAAGAAGTAGGGCCTTGCATTGGCAATTTGTTTTTGCCAAAACTGTCCAGGAAGAAGTCTTCTCACACATGCAAGCTCTGGCGCGTCCACCCGTGCGTTTACTGTTTTGTTGCCCGCACGTTCCCAATAACTATTGACCGTTGAGACGTATCCAAGTCATCCGCAAGTTTGATGCCCGCATTTTGAAGCAGGACTACAAGCAAGAGGAGTGGTACCAGCCGCTTGGCCTGGAGTCATGTTTGCCTTGAAGAGTGCCAAGAGCCTCGTAGCGAAGTCGTTTCCGAGGAAGTGGCTCCGACGACAACAGAACAAGAACCGACAGATCATCGAGATTGGATGATTCGAAGCTGGTGAGAAAATTGGCTTTTGCTTGAGCTCCAGTTTCTGCAGACAGGAGGCGTTGCACAGTACTTGCTTGCCACATCTTGCCACTCAAACCTTGCGCTTGGCCGGAGGCGGTGGCCATTCTAGTTAGGGTTGGACGCTGATAGCACCCACGAGGGCACAGGAGCTTGTGCCTTAAAGTATCTTAGCTCCAGCAAACTGACCTCACCTTGTTCCCCAATGATTATGGGAAGGTCGCCCGCGGTGGTTGGATTGGCTAAACTCATCGCAATTCCAAAGCCATCGAAAGGTATTGACGAGGTCAACCTTTGGGTCCCTCAGGTGGGCTCAGGGTTCTACCTTTTGACTACCCCAAGGTAGACTTAAACCCAGCAGTTTTTTGCTTTTAGGGAAACCAACCCCTGGGTTTAACTCTTTTTGGGGGACGAAGGTAGAACCCTGGGGTCACTCAGCACATCTCTGCGCATGGGTGGTGCTTGGGCCGTCCTGGTGCGGGCCTGGGAGCACTCGGAGGGCAATTGCAATAGTCGCGCACTGGGAAAGTGTTTGGGCGTTTTTTTTCTTTCTTGTGTTCGTTCTTGATGGTTTGTTATTCTTGCTTTTTTTGCTTTGGCTTGCCTTGGGTTGCTTTGCTTTGCCTGTGTGTGTGTGTATGTGTGAGTGTGCTTCTTGCTTGTTTGCTTGTTGGCTTCTTTGTCTATGGCGTGGTTTGATTTCTCTGTGCGACAGGCATCAGCTAAAGCCAGCTGCCCTCATGTTGGGAATGCGCTGGTTCGGCTCCATGGCATACCAAGCTGGTGGCTGAGGCGGTCTTGCCATTGTTGCAGACAGCGGCTGTTATTCCCGGCAACAAGGCGGGGCGGTTTGAAGGTTTGATGCGGTTTGGGTGTTATTGTCGTATTGTCTATATGTCGTCTTTGGACTGAATTTTGAAACATCAACGGCTTTTGAGCCAATTCAAGCTGCCTTTTGGTGATCTGAGGGACCCTTGTGCGCAGCTGAACAAGCGCTTGAGTCAATCTGGCCAGCAGGCCTGCCGCAAAGCCAGAATCATCAGCATTGGCGCAAGAGTCCCCGCTGGAAACTCAGGACAAGGTCTGCAGATGTGTCACGAATCCCTTGCATTTCTGCACAAGCAGAAAAGCAGCTGAACACACCATTTTTGCGCAGTGCAGTTAGTTGAAGCCTACCTTTTGGCTTGGGGCATTTTTGGATGTTTTCGTTTCTTTTGGCTATAGCGGCTGTCTCGCGCACTTCTTGGCTCCGGTGGCTTCCTTCCTTTCTTGGAAGTCTGCAGCTTGGAGCTGAGAAGCTGGCCCGCTGAGAAGCTTGCTTGCTAAGGATTCAGCATGGCTTGGCCTTTATCTAGAGGATCGACCCATCAGCCGCTTGACAGAACCTGAGCGCCCAAGGGGGATTTTGTTCCGCGCGGGAGAAGCGTGATACCTGGCCTGGTCATCTCTGAGTGACGCATGCACGGCTGGGCGGGGGTTGCAATCATCCAAAGCATGGATATCTTGGGGGCCAGGGCATTGACCGCTTGCCCGATTCCCGTCACTGGGAGGTTTTTCGCCTTCTGCCGGGGTCGCGGCCCAAGGGGCGCGAGTCTAGATCAAGTTGGAACGTTGGGTTTTTGGCACATGCCATGACTTGAAGCGTTTGAAATTTGAACTTGATGCGGGTCTCAGCTTGAAATACCTTGTTTTGACTCATGGCTATGCAGTCCCATGATTCCCCCACTTGAGCCCCAAAGCCCGCCAGAGAGAATCTCCGGCGCCGAGGTGAACATCATAGCTCTGGATCCTGGCACTCAGGAGGCTGAGTTCCAGTCTCTCTTTTGGCAGGATTGCTCCCTCCCTCTGAAGGTCTGAGGGTAGGGGGGGTCGTTCCTTTCGAGCTGGTGGTTGGGAGGGAGCTAAGGAGCTACCAGAAGTTCTGTGAGGACACGGCACCTTTGGTTCCCATTGAGTGGAGTTGCCCAATTTTGGAATGGTCGACCCGCTTGTTTTGAATGTTCGGCGAAGGGCGAGCTGCACGAGCAACTCGGTCTTTCGTCGCAGCTTTGCATAGTTTGATCATTCCTGAGCCATGCGTGCTTGAATTCTGTTCAGTTCGCTGGGAGATCTGGGAGGCCTATGCATATTCATATCGGGGGGGCCCTCCTTGTTGGTGGCTTTAAAGTGAAACCAAAAGGAAATCACCCACTTTGAGAGAACAGACGCACCCATATGTGCCCGTCCCCCCCCCTCCCGCGTTACAACTTGCAGGTGCTTTCGGCAGAAGCATATGGACCTGGACAAGGGCCAAGGCTTAAGCAGGAGCTGACAGTCGCCCAAAAAGAAGGCAGACCCATTTGCACCTCTTTTTTTTTTGGGGGGGGGAAGCCCAGACAAAGCTTAATGACTGTTCCACCAGTGTGGGTTTGAACATGTTTCAAGCGGGGCCACGTTTGCAGATGCAACTTTGCAGAGGACCTACTTCGCCTGGAGCTGGGGACTGCGGCACGCTCAGCATTGGAGCCCCGAAGCGTGGGAAACCTGCGAATCCTGCAATCTGCTCCCCCAGCAGCTTGGGAACCCTCGACGTTGCGAGTGAAGGCAGTTTCCGTCAGAAGATTGCACGGACCCGGGGTAGCATGCATTTAGCCTACTGGTTTTTGTTCAACCTCGGCTCGTGTTGTTTCCCAAGCCATAAACCGCGCTTACGGTTTATGGTTGCCCGAACTGGCCTGAATGCCAAAAGAAAGCTGAGACCAAACTTCTGCTATGGGCGCCAGAGCCAGACGCGCTTTGCGCACCTTTTCACTAGTACTGATTTGGTACAAGCGCAAGGTTGACTTCGGCGAAAGAGTTCTCCCATCGTTTCCCCAGTCGCCCAAAACTAGACCCAAAAGACCATGAGCGCCGTGCGCGAGGTCGTTTTGGCTGCTCTCAAGGGTGACGTTGAGGAGGACCTCGCGTTTGGAGGGCCCGCCGATGTGATCAAAATGGGGCTTTGCTTGTTTTGAGAGTGCCCGTTTTGCGCTTGGTGCCGAAAGACTTTGGCGACTGAAAGGTGAGTTTCCCTTGGGCCTTGAGAGCCTGTCATGGGCCACCCGCGCATGCCAGGACCACCTGCAAGCCTTGCGAGTGATTCAAGCTGCTTTGGTGCCATTGGTGTCACCTGGCCAAGGCCCGTGCAACTAAAACGGCCTACGTTTGATGCTCGGAAGTTTGCCAGCATGCCACTAACAGGCGTCACTGGATTTCCCCTTCAAATGTCGATACATTTGCTTGTGGTGTCTATTGAAGCTGCCACCCTTGGAGGCTCCCAAAAAGGTTACTGGAGGAACCTGCAATTGGGCCAAAGACCACTGCCAATCAGCTTTTGTTTTGGTTCCACGGTTGTCGGATATGCATATGACTGGGGTAAGCCGCCAACTCTTTTTTCAATGGATTGGCTAGAGGAGGTCAAGTTTTTTTTTGTTTTTCCTTCTTTTTTTTTTCTGAAAGTCCCGTTTCAATCCCTCAGGGCACGGCATCCCAACGAACGGGTGCCATGCCCGTTGCCAGGCTATGCCATGGTTGGTGCCAAGGGCATGGCTCCTTGGGAGGAGCTGGGCTCAACGGCAGATGCTCGGAGCCCTGAGGTGCTTTGTCTCCAAGGCTTCTCTCGAAATAGGGGACCCCCCACACAAATCACACCCAAAAAGGGGACCCCCAAGAATGGTGGGTGGTGTTCCTTTTGGTTGCACCTTTTAAAACAGTACCCAAAAACCCTCACGAAAACACAAAAGGGGTCCCTCACGAAACACACCCAAAAAAGTCCCTCAACAAGGACACACCCAAAATGGGTGTGGCGTGTCAGTTTGTCCCCCGGCTGTCTTGCAGGGTGTGACCCAGCAAGCTTCGCATGGATGTGGGTTTGCCCTTTGAAACGACCCCACGAGGGGTACCCCCAAAAGAAGCAATCACTCGCAAGGTGGATACTTACGGACCTGGATTTTCATGCTTTGGGTCAGTCTAGTTTTTGTGAGAGCCCCCAAGAAGCTCGACAAAGGGCACCCTCAGCAAAGACCCCTTTTCAGTCCTGAAAGTTGGTATGTGGCTGCACCTTCGCTCAAGATTGCCCGGGTGCATTGCGCGCCGCCGTGCTCAAGCCGGCAGATGGAATGAGCCCAGGAGCCATCATCCAAGGGAGAAAGCAGCGCAACAGCACCCTGCAGCGCAGAGCATGTCTCTCGCAAGTTCCGAGCAGCAATCCCTGCGCTTTGAGCCCAGCCCAAATAATCAAGATGTGTTTTGTTTGGCATGCCGGCTGAAAGGCCATCATTCTCATCAGCTGACCCAATATTCTGCGTCACGCTGGTGACGCAAATGTCATGCAGAGCGCCTTTGGGCAATGGGCCGACGTGCACGGAGGCCGCGGCGCGGATGTATTGCGACGGCTTGATGTGCCATGGGCTAAATGCGTTCCCATTACGTATATAGTGCCGTTGCCATGCGAACCCGAAGGCATGACAGGCACACATCACAAGCAGAGAGTGAGTTTACACATTGAAATGCTTAGAGCCGCATGAACTGCATGCTTTTTATTAGCTTTGGGGAGTCTATCTCTTTCATCCACTGGGTTCACCACATTGCAAGGCTGCGGGTGCCCTTTGCATGGAGCATTGCTTGCTTCTTGGCCGCAAGCTGGCTTCAGCCAGCCAGCTGGTGCTGCCTTCGAGTGTCATGATTGTCACGGCGCGTTGTTAGCTTTTGTCAAGAGAATCCCCCCACACGGGATCAGGGATCACCACATGGCTGTAAAACAATGTGGCCTGGCCGGGCCGTCGCGCAGCGAGTGTCCAACGAATTTTTAGCTGCGCTCCGCGCGCTGAAATTGATCTTGATTGAAATATGCCGCTGGACGTTGAATGTTTCAATGTAAGACCACGTTACGTTTGAACGAGTTCTGGGAGTGTTCGCGAAAACATGCATTCGGGCTAGATGGGGAAGGTGTGTGGGAAGATTGGGTCAGGGATCAATCAATCCATTCATTGTTTCAATGTTAATTTATGTTGGTCTTGGTCTTGGTACATCTTCCCGAAGCTCCCCTCTACATCGACTGTTCCCACGGCCAATCATGGCTTGGAACAAGTTGCGCACGGTTTGCTGCCTTAGCAACGCTCTGGGGGAATGCAAAAGGGTTCCGGCAATATTCCCCCTTGGGGTGGTCTTTAAAAATCACGTTTTTCAAGCCAACTTCAAGTGAGTTTCCTTTAGAGTGATGGTTGGGGAAGTGCAGGGGGGCCCTGCGCAGCTGCACAACGCTTCCAAAGCGAACTGATCCCTTGGCGAAAAGCCGGCGCCGCAGAAAGATGCCGATGAGGCCTTGGATGGTTTCTTCCAGTCGCGGGGGTGCAGCTAGCTCTCGAAGAATTCGAGGACAAGTTGGGAACTGCGCTAAACTTCAGGAAGTTGGCTGGGAGCCAGGGGGTATTTCTCAAAATGCGGCGCGAGCTTGTGTGTGGCGCGGCTTCTTTGCTATTTCTGCGTTTTTTGTTTTCCCCCGGAAAGCTGTGCTGGGTAGAATGCACGTCCGGAGGTTTGCAATTTGCAGATGGCTTTTGGGTGGCACGTTGGGGTTGCTCTCTCACTTGCTCCCCCTCACGTGTTACCCCCTAACTTGGTCGCCAAGCATGCTCAACATATTGCATTTGCACAGTCGGTGCCCATCTAAATGCCAAACGGGTGCGTCTTTTTGCGGTGCTCTCTTTTGGAGTTGAAAAAACAATGAGGACAACTACCATTTGCGGGGTCCCCCAAAACAAGCCGAGCCACGCAACCGTTGATTGAATGGTGCAGGATGATGATTGCGTCCAGTCCCATGAGTCAGACCTCCTGCTGCGGCTTGGCCTTTCGGAACTGGCTATATCGCTTCGGATCGCTTGGGCCCAACAGCGCTCCAAAATGGGTTGATAGGTTTGTCCTCAAGGGCTCCCCCCCTAAAATGGCCGGCTTTCCTTCGGTTTGCATTTGAAACAACTGAAAGAGGGGTTCCCCCCAAACAAGACACCCAAATGGAAAGTCAATCCATGTCAAGTTTTCGTTGCGTCTCCATGGCCTAAATGCGGAGAAGTCTGGACCGGTAAGAACTTTGCGGGCAGATTAAAATGCAGCCACCAGTGTAAATTGCAACTACTGTTGGATTGCCAACTTGAAGAACACCTGTGGCAACAATCATATCCTTTCGCATTTGCGTCATGGATTGGTTTGCGCTCTTTCGCAAAGGGGTACTGCCGTGGTTATGTGCCGGAGACAAAAAGGACCGCGCCGAGCGGGAGCTGGGCGAATTTGCCGAGTGTCCCGGAGGCAACTCATGCACGAGCTGGGTGGGGTGTTAGAGGAGGTCCTTCTGAAGATCACTGCAGGCGAGAGCCAGGAGCTTGCTGTGCCTTCTGAGCTGTCGACAACTCCCTGCGTGGGGAACTTGACGCATGCAGGCAATAGATCGTCCCCATCAGATACTGAAGCCATTCGAACAAACAAGTCACGCGGAAGCATGACTGATCTATTCTGCAAGCCAGCATTGACACATCCACGGCTGATACTCTAGCAAGTGAATTGCCAGAGGTGAAGAGCTGCAAATTCATATAAGAAACTCCAGGGCTCTTGCATACGTTGACAGGACGCATCTGGGTTTTAGAGACAGATCATGTGCTTGGACGCTCAGACACAGTGCAAGACTGAAGTTGGGCCATGTCGCGGTACGCTCCGAGCGCATGGCATGGACTTTGAAGCGCTGGAAGATGCGGAGGCCTCCAGCGAGGCGAATGCGCTGGCATCGCTGGCTTTCTTTCGGGGGATGGTTTTTGGGCGGCCTTGGGTTTCGAATCTCTCAGAGACTTCTGTGTGGATTTGCGGCGATTTGCGGCACGATATTGCGAGTCAGGGGGGCAAGCTAGATTCGAGCTCCGCTTAGACATGCGCTGCTGAGTTGCAAGCTCAGGTATGTGTCAGCTTGGGGATGGACAGAAGGCAGACGCCACACTGCTTGCGAGCACATAATTGTGGTTTCTCAGACATTTGTTCCAACACGCATGTGGGCCGAGGGTACAAGCGAGAGAGAATGGCTTAAAGCCGGATGGCTTTATTCCGAAATTGGGGTCATGGTCTTCCCTGTGCCCTGCAAGGAAGGACCTGGCATATGGAAGAGGTCATGCATTAGAAATGCCAGGATCTGTTTCGCCCACTCCCTCTGCAATGACAGATCCTGCAGGATGTTGCAGGCTTCCAAGTCTTGTTCTTTCGGTTCCCGGGGCATTGCGATGGCTATCTCAGTTGCCCAGTGACGGGTTCCCCTTTGTTGCTTCTTGTTCTTGGGGACGGGTTCCCCTTTAAACTCAGCCAGCCCAAAACGAGGCCTTTTTGTTCCCACGGAAATCCGCTGGGCATCTGCGTTGAGCTGGTGGAAATGGTGGAAGGCCTTCAGTGCTGGCTGCCTGTTAGGCACCTGGCATCGAGCGTGACTTCCTACAAGCTGCAGGGGCCGAATCCTTTGAGGACGGGGCCCGAATGTGTTCCCAAGGCCTACCACAAACCGTGCGCCCCCAGGTTGCTCTTCGTTTGATGACCTTCTTAGTGGGTTCCAGCCACCCAAAAAGGTAGGTAACCACGAATTTTCCTTTGGGTTTTGAAGTGGTTCCCTTGGCTAACTACTATACAGGTGAATGGATCCACTGGGGTTGGCTATGTGGAAGCTATCTTGAACTCAGTTGGTCAATAAATTTGGCGCTGTCGGTCACCCATGGGCGGCCAGTTTGCCTGCATGCCTGGGGTATTCAGAATTCCTCTGATTGGCTTTGCATTCCCTTGCAAGCTGGGTGCCGGCAAAACGTTCAGGAGATCGTAAAAAGATGGGTACATTCGTGTTGCAACGGCCGGTTCCATCAGCAAGTGAAGGTTGCGTTTTCGGCCAGGACCTCAGGGACAGAGAAGTTCTGGAGAGACCCGGTTGCGATTTATCGTAGTATGATTTCGCGAGATCATGCAGAGATTGGTTGTGCACACGAAGCTCCCTTCGGAGCTTGCTCAGCATTGCGTCAGCCAGGCTGAGTGGATCTGTGTAGTTACTGAGCTTGGCTTCACTATTGAACAACCGATTTTGAGGGTGGTGTTATTTTGAGACCACCCCCTATCTTTGTGTGAGCTTCCTTCGCCCTTTTTGGCATAGATGCCCTCTTTGATTTTGATTAGTTTGGTTAAGCACAAATGGGTTCCACTGGTTTAGATTCGCTTTGTTCTATTGCGCATAGTCCAATAGTTGTAAACCACACCGGTCCCTCCTCGGTGTGAGTCGGCGAACAGGAGGGTCGGCGGATTTACCAGGGCCATCGGTTTTTCGACACGCCAACCTATGGTTTATCCATCGGCCGAGGCTGCGCGACCTCCGCCTGACGCTGCCGCCACGGCTGCCGCTCGCCGCGCGGGGCTTGCGCACGCTGCGGGTGCAGCGCTGCAAGCTGCAGGCCCTGCCGCAGAGCTTGGGCACCTCCGGCGCAGGTTCCCACCCCCAAAGTCAAGTACGGGTCTGGATTTCTTTAGGGGACCACCCCAAAGGGGGGTGTTCCTGTTCGTTTCCCTTTATTTC